TTTTTTTTTAGGTTTAAAAATTTCCGCGCGCGCCCCTTTTTAACCTTGCGCCCCTAGGCATATGCCTACTTTGCCTTATGGACAATCCGCCACTGATTGCGAGGAAGAATATTTAATAAAAACGTTCCAAACAAAAACAAATGACGAAATCTATACATTGGAATTGTATGTATGTAGGTAATCAAAAAAAGGTTAAATCTCGTAGAGTCTGGACTGTTAAAAAGGGTAAAACATTAGTCTTCTCCCTAACTCCTCCTCTCTCCTGTAACACAAAAGACGACAGTGCGCCACTGTCCTGTTTAGGTTATTAGCGAAAGAATTTTCGTGGGTTTTATGGCTATAGCTCACTTCTGTAGGCTTCTCTTCGTTTGGTTTTTCTACGTTGTTTCGAAGTGGAATTTAAATCATTTCACTCGAAATCTTACAATTTTGCTTAAATGCGTTTTATCTATCTTAACTTCCTATGCGTCAAAAATCTTAATTAGAATTGTACAGAGAAGGATGGAAAAAGGGCGGAAGAACTATTAGGGGAAGATCAGTTTGGGTTCAGAAGAAATACGGGAATGAGGGTGGCCATTTTAGCTTTACGAGTAACAACAGTAAATACAGTACAAATGTCGGGATAGATATACAGCGGCAAAAGATTAGTATGCTTAGATTTGCAGATGATAAAGCAGTGTTAGCAGCTAGCAAGGAGGAGTTGGATATAGTTTTAAATAAAATGGAAGCGATATTGACAAAACTATATTGTATGGAAGTAAATAAAAGTAAAACAAAAATGCTGGTATGCAAGGTAAAAAACAGTAGGGAAAGAGCGAATATAAAGATAGGAGACGAAAAATTAGAAAAAGCGACTGATTTTAGATATCTAGGAAGTCAGATAAGTCAGGACGGAAGGAGTAGTAGGGATATACAGCAGAGGATAGTGCAGGGTCGAAACATGGACAGTGGGCGCGACGGAAAAAGAAAGGTTAGAAGCGTTTGAAATGTGGTGTTACAGGCGAATGATGAGGATACCGTGGATAGAGAAGGTTAGAAATGAAGAGGTAGTAGAAAGATTAGAAGAACATAAGACTCTATAGAAGTCAATGAGAAATAAGATAGGTTGGTAGGACACTTTCTCCGGCATGAAGGTCTTGTCAAAGACATCTTAGAGGCAGAAACAGGAGTTAATAGGAGTAGAAGTAGACCTAGATTAGATTAATTTTCGCAAATAGTTAAGGATGTGAGATGTTGTAGTTTTAGGGAAATGCGAAGATTAGCTCAGGATAAGAAAGAGTGGAGGTGCGTGTCCAACCAGTCTTAAAACTGACGACCTTATGATGATGGTCTTCTTTTTTGAGGACTTATTTCTTTAGTACTAAGCACGCCACAAATTTTCATTTATTGTGATAAGAACGATCGAGTGTTGAGGAATCCAAAAGATTCTACCTTTTATTGATACGTAATTGACAAAATGTGAATGAATTTTGTTGTGGGACTTACGTGGCGCTTGGGTTTATACAATCGCGAATGTTGTTAGTTTCGGCCCTGGTTTCAGCAACCGGGGAATTTGCTAATTCCGGTGTTCCATTTTGCACACTGTCGCCGAATGCAATAGCAACTAGGCAGATTGAGAATACAAAAGTGATGATGCTATAAAAAGACATCGTGACTACTTGCACTTACACTGATAATATGCAAAATTGTCTATTACAGTTCTTGTTTTATAGTATTTCTTATCATTTTATCGTAAACTAGTTAACAAAGCAGAAATAGGAGCGGCCATAAAAATTTGTAAGGAGCACTTGAATGAGTTGTGATGTTTGATATAAAATGTAGAATTTTAATACGTGGGTCGATGGTAGATCTGCCGGTCGAACAGGGTTGGCGGTCAAAGATTGCTAGGCGTCTGCTTGTGGTCACAAGTCGATGTAAATAAACCTACGTATATAAGGGATAAATATTCGATGATTGAATAATGTCGATGCGTTGCGTCTAATAACGCTATAATCTTGACTCGTACTGGTTTCGTTACATTAGTTTGTTTGCTGTACAATTACAGTTAGGCGGGTCATTATCACTACATAGCATAAAACAAAGTCGCTTTCCCGCTGTCTGTCCCCTACGTATGCTTAAATCCTTAAAACTACGCAACGGATTTTGATGCAGTTTTTTTTAAAGTGATGTCGTAAATAAACACATTTTTTGCGCTTACATTGCAAACGCTGGCTGAACCCTACGAGATAGATCAAAATAATGTACTACAGTATTGTACACCTTAAAA